CCGGGTCGCTGTCCTTGTATCGGCTGCGAGTCCATAAAGGTCTCCGCACATCCAGGAATCACATTTCCTCTAAGACCGATACCTGTACAAAGATCATACAGAATTGTATCTTGTAGAAGTTGAGCATTTTAGGAACTCTAATCTTTATTAACTAGATATGTACTTATTCCCAATATATCTTCATTATAACATATATATTTGATTGAAAGAATTATATATTATTCTTGTAAAGACAGATTTGGACCTTGAACGGCGTAGGATATTTTGGGGGAAGAGTAGAAGGTAGGCAAGTAGAGACCGCCTTGTTCGATTACAATACGAGCAACGGAGACACCAGCACATCGGAGCTGAGGATGGTTATGGTCCCAGTACTCAACCTGACCGGCCTCGCTCTTGATTGTTTCGGTGGCTTGGAGAACGTCTAGGTTATCAAGGTTACAGTCATTCTGCAACTGAGGAGGAACACCTAGTGACTGCCGTGCGAGACAGCCGTTAAGGACGAGGAGAACCCCGAACGTTGCTACGAGGAGATTACCAAGTTTAACCATTTTCTTTTTTGTGTTTGTTTGTAATTAAGAGATGGATGAAGAGAACGGGACTTGGTAGGAGTTTATATATTGTAGAGTGAGCATGAAGGATTGGGTTTGCATGGGGTCACTAGTCTATGGTTTTTACACGTCACTCTATGAGCTCGAGCAAGTGTCTCCTTATGGTCATGCGCGTAGCCCTCTCTCCGCATAATCACAAAATGCGACAAAATCAAACGTATCCATCTCATTTTTTAGCTTCACGTTATCCATATCGCGAAACCTCTACTATATAAATTATATATTTTTACAATCGTATTGAAAGCTTTTAACATTCATAATTGATTTTAAACGAGAGAAGAGAATCTAATTTTTTAGAATTAACAAATCCAATTAAATTACCAGTGTCCAGTATTAAGTAATTTGGCGATACAGCCAAAAACTTATGTAGTTTAAGGAGTTCATATATAGAAAGAAAAAAAATCAAAGAAGATGATGACACATGATAGATGCGGAGACACGGGTGGGGTTTGATCCGTTTTATCTGCTGTGACTTTTTAACTCGACAACTGTTCGGTTGCATGTTTAGCTGCGATGACATGTATCCGGTATTTCTTACATGGGCTTCTCAAAATCAAGCCCAAATAAGTATTCTTCTTCACATTCAAGCCCATC